GGAACCACCTTGATCGACTCCTGCAACGACTGAGACACGCACTTCCTGACAACCACGCTGTACGGGAGATGAAAGAACGAATGGCCATACAATCAACGCGTACAAGAACATGAGTTAGCGTGTATCGCGGTCATATTGAGAGTCATAAATGGTCGAGTGTTCCCGCGAACGCTATGGCAACGCGACCGAAAGCAGCAGGTATGGTCATGGCTCCGACGGATTCGTATTTGACAAAATCAGCTGGAAGAAGTAGATCGCGGATTGAAGCTAAACAACATATCAAACAAGCCAACACGAAACGCGAACAAAGTAACAAGGTTTAGGGTGGTAGTGCTACCTGGTTCGGTAAACCGCGAATAGACGCGTAATCATGTATCAAACAAGCCGTCACTCCAAAAGTGCACCAAGACAACCTTGCCAAGCGAGGAAGTCAAAGCACGTCGCGATGAAGGGATGCTTATCATCGGCGAAGCACTTCCTCTGCTCGGGCGGGAGCTCCACAGTGCTGCGAGCAATCGAGATCGTCGCAGTGTAAGACGTGCCCTAGTCGCCACTGTTCAAGAACGCTTTCAATTCGCGAGCCATGGCGGGGCCAGAACGCGTGCACTAAACAGCAGCGCGGACGGGGCGGGGAGAAATTAGCACGCGAACAGCAAGGGTTTATAATAGAACTACTATCAGTCGGAAGAACCTAAACGCGAACGCGAACAACACACTAGACCAAGCTTGGCATATGTTCGCACCGAGAAACTGGGTGTAGAGGTCTAACGGGATGACAAAAAAGGATAACCAAAGTGTGAAGAGGAAACTGAGCACCTGGACGAGGGCCTAATTTGGGACAAAACGGATCAAGAAAGGGGCAGCGCGAGCAACAGGCGAGGGGCCAAAATGCACGTACTGGGGGGGAACCCGCGCGCCCCTTCGGACTTGTCAAGGGGGGACGTTCGGCGTCTGCATGCGAGTGGAACCACATCGCACCATGTAGCACTCCGGCCGTGTACTGCATGCAAGGGGCGATTGTTACCACCTCGGGCGGAGTGTATTCATCGTATCGTCTGCCAAAAACCAAGATAATGAACCAAAACAATAATCTCTTTCACGCCAAATTACTACACTCTATTAAGTGGAAACATTAAACGCGGTCAAAAATGTTAAACGCGTTCATAAAGTTGGCACCCAAATCGCAATGCAGTATGTCTATTTTTTGTATATGTATATATATACATAAAAACCCAAACAAAGAGTTTTGTTTGTTTGTTTGTTTTTTTTTTTTTTTCAGCAGCCACACAATGTGATTGTCACTGTGCAATCGCGTTTATGATTTACATTATTTAAGTGTGTGTAAATATGACAACTTAGTACACTGGGGAAACATTTTTTAGGTTGTGGATACATTTTCGGCGAGCTGTGGCAACCCTTCGTACGCACGAAGAATATTTCGCGTGGGTCTTCCGAACCGCACGACTAGTCGGAAATGATTCCGATTGTCCGGATTCGTTCCGGCGCGCACTGGCGACGCTTCGCACGCGCGGGTTGGTGTGCGAAGTGTTTCGCTAGGTCCCTCCGAACCACACCCCACTCAAAAACGGCTCCGATTGGCCGGAATCATTTCGGCTAGGGCTGATTTTATCAGGGTAATTACCCTGATTTCAGGGTGATTACAGGCTTCTGACCTAGTGGTCCCTGCGATTACAGTTTTTTTAACTTGTGAACTCTGATGCAATCAGATAAGTTACTTAACGAACCCTGAAATCTTGTAACTAGGCTCAGAGTAGTATACTTGCGGTCTCTGTCTATGTAGAGTATGTGAAAGTAGTAGGTAGAATTAGGAGCCATAGCTAGGAAAACCCTAGCTAGGCAAGAGAGTTTAGGTAGAAGAGGCGGTTTCACTAGCAGCAATGAGGATACATATAGCAAACCCTAGATGGGTTGTACTCGCTATAGAGCACCCCACTACAGGCTAGAGAATAACATTCTGACACACCCCCATAGCCAAAGTGGGGTGGAATCAGTACAATGAGCAAGCAGGTATAGAGCAGGAGTTCACAAAGGTAAGCAAAACTAGAGTTAATCACAGCGGGCAAGTGAGGAGGAGGAGGAACTGTGGAGGGAGAGAAGATGGGAGGCAACGACTGAAGCTGCAGAGGCACGGGCACAGGAGCGGCTGACTCAGTGGCTACCGAAGCAAGGGCGACGGACTACTGGAGTGACTGGCTCCGCGGCTATAGACGAGCGGCAGGAGCAACGGACCCACTGGCGACTGGTGCAACAGGCTCACTGGCTACCGAAGCAAGGGCGACGGACTACAGGCGCTGCAGGCGACACGACAGCTACCTTCACACAACCTCCTCCAGCTGTCCCACACCCCTCTCACACACCCCCTGCTGAAACCCTAGCTCCACTCCCACGTCACCCCCCTAGCACCACTCCTTCGGCTCCCACACACCCACCCCCCTGAGCGGCAGCTGCAGCAGCGGGAGACGGAGGAGGAGGGGACGGCGCACAGAAGCTGCACCCCCATACCCCCCACCCCCAAACCCTAATGCAGGAGAACGGGCAGCAGCAGGGGTGGGGCGCCGTCAGAACCACGGGGGACAGCGGGCAGCGCAGGGGAAGAGGAAACAGGGCGCCCACGGGCCTGGCGCAGCCCGTACGAACCGCGCGCGGGCGGCCCGAGGCGCGCGCTGGCCTGGCGCAGCCCGTACGGGCCGCGCGCGGGCCTGGCGCAGCCCGTACGGGCCGCGCGCGGGCCTGGCGCAGCCCGTACGGGCCGCGCGCGGGCCTGGCGCAGCCCGTACGGGCCGCGCGCGCCTGGCGCAGCCCGTACGGGCCCGCTCGGGCCCTACGCAGGTCGCGCAGGCCGCGACGGGCGACGGGGGGCGACGCGCGGGTCCCCGTCGCCCGTCGCAGCGCCTCCCGGGGGCGACGCGCGGAGTGACGGGGCAGAAAGCCGCCGCGCGCCTCGGGGCGGTTTCACTAGCAGCAATGAGGATACATATAGCAAACCCTAGATGGGTTGTACTCGCTATAGAGCACCCCACTACAGGCTAGAGAATAACATTCTGACAGAGTATGCGTTCTGTGGACCCGGAATGCGGGGGTATCGGGACGAAGTTTCCTAGAAATTTCCTCCCGATAATCCCGCCTTCGGACTGATCGCGTGATCCCCCCCCCTCCCTTATCGAGCCGAAGTTTCGTCAAAACTTCTTTCTGATATACCGCCAAAGTGATCGGGCGAATCTGCACTGTCAGATATATTTTGCTGTGATTGGTCGAAATAGTTCTGCTCTTACAGCGGAAATCTGTGACTCGAACAGGTTTGACTCGCTCCAGGATGCACGCCTCTGAGGGTGACTACAGTAACGTTACTGTACAGTTGCAGTGTGTCTGAAGAGATCCGATTGGGCATGGTAATAAGACAGGGAAACGTTACACTCGCACACCAGATAGGTCAATCGCACCCGCCCTGCACAAAATAATCGAGTGCATAGCCAGCGCGAAACACAGCGCGCAGGCTTCATGGAGAGTGGGGCATTCTTCCCCGGTAAAAAAGAGCGCGTTACTACACTAATGTTCAATTCTCGACCCTGAACAATCAGAGTTAACTACTTTACAACCCTAAGCAATCAGGGTACTGTTTTTCTGGAAAATGTGCACCCATAATAGACGGGGAAAATTTTCCCCGGAATCAGGGAGGCCTAAAATGAAACGTCAGCCCTGATTTCGGCGCGCTCGTCCCGGGCTGCGTGGCACTGGCGTGGCCTGGGCTCGGCATGGGGGCACCTTGCCAGCTAACTCCGCCGCCCGAATCTCGCCAGGGACCTGAAACGGGGCGGGGGACTCCTGTGCGCGTGCCGGGGAACGCGACACCTCCTGCATCCGCGTGCAAGCCTAGTGGAAACCGAAACCTACCAGGAGGGGTGCCCGGTAGTAACGAAGTTACAAGGGCCCGGATGGACTACTTAATTTTGCAACGCCCTCCTGGCCGAATTGCGTTGTACGGGGATTTAAAGCTCAAGGCCCAAATTGCGGGCCGCGCTGGGCAAGATTACTAATCTTGCTCAGCTGCTGTTTGGGTGCTGTGAGTTGGCGAACGTTGGTTACAGTAGGGACGAATAAATCTGATTGGTCGAGGCCAAGTTCAGAACGCAAACTTCAAGTTTCATTATTTCCCGATTTGGGACTCTCGGACCCAAACAGAATGTTGGCCCTGGGGTTTACTGACTCAGCGAGTGTTGAGAAAGCCTGTGCGAAATAAGTCAACCCCACTTTCTCGACTTTGTCTTCACCTCCCAAACCACCAGCCCAAACCCTTGCGCAAGATTACTAATCATGCACAGTTGGGCCTTGAGCTTTAACACGCCCTTGAAAAATTTCAAGCAAAAAACTCGCTCGAAAGGAATACGATACAACACACACGCATGAAGGGGGATTCTTTCGGAACCTATGACCAAAGAGAAGGCAGTGACGCAAGACATTCTCTCTTTCTCATTGCTTGTTTGTGCAACTCCGCCATTTTATTAAAAATCATATGACATTTATTTTAGATGCCTTTAACTCTATAGAATGTACAATACGTCAACTGACTTTTAATGACTTCATATGACTTGAGATTGAAGGCTTATCGTGGACACCAGACTAGAACGTTTGCTTTTTTTTTTTTCTTTTTTTTTTTTCAATAATAAAACATTCCACAAACGGGATGGAGGCACTATCTGTTACAATGTAGCATAATTACGCAAGGAAAAGGAGTGGAAACGGGAAGAGAGGAGAAAAGGAGGAATAACGTGAGTAGAAAAAAGGAGAGAGGAAGAAAGAAGGAGGGGAATAGGGGAAAAATGATAGGAGGAAGAAAAACAGGGAAGAAGGAAGAAAAAGTAGCACACACAACCCCAAGAAAACCCCAATAGCACACACATTTAAAACACCATCAAGCCCTCCCATCAAAGCACCCCAACTGCACTCCCATCGAACCAAACCTCCCCCCCTAAACCCACTCCCTAAACCCGCATGTCTACCAAGTATGGTGCATCCGCCCACGGAGCATCCCATCCCATCTCCTCCTCAACATCCTCCCGCTCCACCCAAACAGCCTCTGGGCCTCTCATCATCGACGCAGCGCGTAACAAGATCACACGCGCCTGAGCCCGTTGCAAAGCCACACCCACAGCCGCTTTGAGCGATCCGAGCAAATAAGCCGAGAAACCCTTTCCCGTAGCTCGCGCCGCCCCTTTCGTCTTTGCTATCTCGATCTGCGCGTCACCCTGCTTCTTAAGCCACCGTCCAAAACTCCCCCCCAAGCATCCCCATGTCTCAGCAATGAGTGGTGTGAACTGCACTCCCCCATGCCGCTGTAGAAGCGATTTGTAGTCCGCCGTCTTCCGCTTTTCTCTCTCTCTCGCGGCAAAACCCACCTTGCGACCAATCTGTCCATGGTGCTGCGCGGATAGCGAGATAGGATCTACCACACTAACCTCCAGCGCGTGCTCCTCCCCCTCCCTCAGTTTCCGAACCGCCACATCAACCCTCTTCCCTGGGAGCAACGTGTCGTCTTCCATGGTCACAATCCCACCCGCACCCTTAGCTATCTTCGCCACCACAAATTTAACCGCATCGTGAACCCGAGAAGGTGCATACTGATACTTGCAGCGAAGGGCATGATGCGGGTCAGAGGGATCAGCAAACTCAAACCCACACGCGCACTTGCCGGCCACTATCAGCTGCTGAATAGGGAGGCCTAGGCGCATGGACGCGCAGATGCTCCACTCGGCTGCGGTGAAGGTAGCCTCCTCGTGCGAAGGAACGGCAGAAACCCACGCCCCAGCCCCCGGGCCCTGAAGGGATGTCAAACGGGCCAGGGTGGCATCGTTGTGGGCCATGCCTCGAAGAGATTGGAGGCTCTCAACCGCCAGGCGACGGTGTTGTGTGGGGAAGAGCAGCATAGGCGGATCAGCGGTGCACAAGGCAAGGGGTGGCATCTCCTGCCGAACCGACTGTGGAAGCAGATCCACTGCTCTCGCAAACCAGGGGTCCAACAAGGTCGTAGCCTCGGGCGTGCGGAAAAACTCCTCAAACATCCGCTCCTCACCTGCCACCCCCAACCGAGCCACATCGCTCACTGCTTGGCACCAGCCACATGCATACGACAGAGGACTAAGGTCAGCCGCAGATCGAATGCCGAACCCCCCGAGTCTGGCAGGAAGGTGCAGCTGTAAACGAGCCATCTGGGACTTCCCCGAATCGTGATCCCAGGTACTATCTGGAAACAGCTCCTCGAAACAATCTTCCAGCTTCGTGTCCCAGTCCCGAAAAGCCTCCACAACCTCAGGTCGTGGAGGCATCGTCCGTGTGAGGTAGATCGGGCGCGCCGACACTGCGATCGCCAACAAATGAGACGCAATCTGTGGGTGGTCAAGCAGAGGAAGCCAGGGGACAGGTGCATGCAGCTCCGTCAGCCGGCGACGCAGGCTAGCCACCTCCCAGTCCTCCTCCCCAATGGGCACCCCTACCACAGTGAGCCCCGTCCATGTCTGCTGCATGCCGGGCGGGACAGTCTCATTTCTCTCCTCCCCATCCTGGTCCCTCCCTCGCTCCCATAGCTTACACTTATGCGGCTGCACCTCCAAACCCAGCCCGTCCAGTCGTTCCCGCAAGGCCTCATAGGCTGCTAGAACCCGTTCCCTAGGCCCCAGGATATACGTATCGTCAGCATAGCTGAGGAAGAGTAAGTCGGCGTACTCCGTTTTGGTTGGTTCCATAACCAGCTGCTGTGTGAACGCGAACAGAAACGGACCCAATGGATCCCCTTGCCTCGAGCCCCGCTCGGAAGCCAAAGCTTCGACAAAAGGGCCCGCTCGGAGATAGAGGTCGCTAGGAGTGCCGTAGAAGACACGCAGAAATGGAATCAATCCCTTGAAAGGCGACTGTCGAAGACCCTCAAACATTTCCCGCCGATGGAAGGAGTTGAAAGCGTTCGCCACGTCAATTTGCAGCGCACACCACGACGGGTGAGTAGAGATGGCGGAGCGAAAGGCATGTGCGAGGACTTCCACTCCCGACCTGGACCCGACTCCAAACTGGTTACACGGAGCAAAGTGCGACATCATCTTCGGGCGAAGCACGATGCATATGGCCCGAGATAGTATGCGGGGGAGCACCTCGCCTATAGCCACCGGGCGAACGTCACCATTCGGCTTCGACAGGCCCACCAAGTTGGACGCAGTGAGCCAGGGTCGCACGCGCTCCGCTACCTCTCCCTTGGTCCACTGGGTGAAGACCTCTAGCAGGTGGGACAGATACGCGGGCTCAGAGAGAAAAGTGTCGCGCAGGTGCTCCGTCACCCACCCCGACGGTCCTGGTGCGGACGCCCTAGCCGCTGAGTGGATCGCCTGGCCGAGTACCTCCACTGAAAGCTGTGGGATAAGGGAAGGCTCGACTGTCTCCTCCTGCACCCACCCAGGAATGGCGGACTCGCACGATGGGTGTTTCGCTCGTAGCGCGTCCACCATGTGCTGAGAGGGCTGAGCGATGCTACCAGCCGTAAGGCACGCCAAACCCCGACTCCATTCTCCCACTTTGCACCTTGTACGGCAGCGGGATAGGCGCACGGCATCAGGATCATGCTCGGGTGGGGTGAAGGACAAGGGGCGAGCCGCAGGTTGCATCGCCGCCACCGCCAACTCAAACAGCTGCTGCCACTCCCCAGCCCAAAACTTCTCCAACCGCTCCCTAATTGCCGCCCTCTGCCCCTGGCCTTGCCCGGTTGGAATCCCCAAGAAAAGACGAGGGAAGGCCAAAAACACCAAGGATGCCGCCTCGTCTGCTGCCTTTGACTTGAGCCGCTTCAGGATACAAGCTAGTGCATCAAGCACCCCCAGTCTTGCGCGCTGTGGGATGCGACGCATGATTCTCCCTGGCACCAATTCGATCCCGAAAAACGACTCCCAGTCCCATGTGGGAACTGCGGCCCACACCTCTTCACTGATATCCCGTGGTGGCGGAGGTTCGCTGTCCGAGTCGTCTGTGACGTCGCGGGTCAACCCAAGCGCCTGTGCACGGCGCTTGGCGTCCGCTGCCCTGCAGGCCGACATATGACGCGTGGCCTTTCCTCTCTCCGTGAAAGTGCGATAACAGGTTTCGCACGGGATGCGGGGCGGGGGTGTCAGCATAGGGTCTGGGTGCTCCTCTCCACTCGAACACGCCGGCAAGACCTGTCTGCTCGACTCCATCTCCATCTCCCCCTCTGGCAGCCTCGCAAGCTGCACCCCATCGGGCAGCTCCTGCTGCCCTCCGCTCTGCAGCTGTTGCTGCCCTCCGCTCTGCAGCTGCTGCTGCCCTCCGCTCTGCAGCTGTTGCTGCCCTCCGCTCTGCAGCTGCTGCTGCCCTCCGCACTGCAGCTGCAGCTGCCCCCCACTCTGCAGCCGCTGCTGCCCTCCGCTCTGCAGCTGCTGCTGCCCTCCGCTCTGATTGGGCTGCTGCCCTCCACTCTGCAGCTGCTGCTGCCCTCCGCTCTGCAGCTGCTGCTGCCCTCCGCTCTGCAGCTGCTGCTGCCCTCCGCTCTGATTGGGCTGCTGCCCTCCACTCTGCAGCTGCTGCTGCCCTCCGCTCTGCAGCTGCTGCTGCCCTCCGCTCTGATTGGGCTGCTGCCCTCCGCCCTGCAGCTCATGCTGCCCTCCGCTCTGCAGCTGCTGCTGCCCTCCGCTCTGCAGTTGCTGCTGCCCTCCGCTCTGATTGGGCTGCTGCCCTCCGCTCTGCAGCTGCTGCTGCCCTCCGCTCTGATTGGGCTGCTGCCCTCCGCTCTGCAGCTGCTGCTGCCCTCCGCTCTGCAGCTCCTGCTGCCCTCCGCTCTGCAGCTGCTGCTGCCCTCCGCTCTGCAGCTGCTGCTGCCCTCCGCTCTGCAGCTGCTGCTGCCCTCCGCTCTGCAGTTGCTGCTGCCCTCCGCTCTGCAGCTGCTGCTGCCCTCCGCCCTGCAGCTCATGCTGCCCTCCGCCCTGCAGCTCATGCTGCCCTCCGCTCTGCAGCAGTTGCTGCTGCCCTCCGCTCTGCAGCTGCTGCTGCCCTCCGCTCTGCAGCTCCTGCTGCCCTCCGCTCTGCAGCAGTTGCTGCTGCCCCCCACTCTGCAGCTGCTGCTGCCCTCCGCCCTGCAGCTCATGCTGCCCTCCGCTCTGCAGCAGTTGCTGCTGCCCCCCACTCTGCAGCTGCTGCTGCCCTCCGCCCTGCAGCTCATGCTGCCCTCCGCTCTGCAGTTTCTGCCGCCCTCCGCTCTGATTGGGCTGCTGCCCTCCGCTCTGCAGCTGCTGCTGCCCTCCGCTCTGATTGGGCTGCTGCCCTCCGCTCTGCAGCTGCTGCTGCCCTCCGCTCTGCAGCTCCTGCTGCCCTCCGCTCTGCAGCTGCTGCTGCCCACCACTCTGATTGGGCTGCTGCCCTCCACTCTGCAGCTGCTGCTGCCCTCCGCTCTGCAGCTGCTGCTGCCCTCCGCTCTGATTGGGCTGCTGCCCTCCGCCCTGCAGCTCATGCTGCCCTCCGCTCTGCAGCTGCTGCTGCCCTCCGCTCTGCAGTTGCTGCTGCCCTCCGCTCTGATTGGGCTGCTGCCCTCCGCTCTGCAGCTGCTGCTGCCATCCGCTCTGCAGCTGCTGCTGCCATCCGCTCTGCAGCTGCTGCTGCCCTCCGCTCTGCAGTTGCTGCTGCCCTCCGCTCTGCAGTTGCTGCTGCCCTCCGCTCTGATTGGGCTGCTGCCCTCCGCCCTGCAGCTCCTGCTGCCCTCCGCACTGCAGCTGCTGCTGCCCTCCGCTCTGATTGGGCTGCTGCCCTCCGCCCTGCAGCTCCTGCTGCCCTCCGCTCTGCAGCTGCTGCTGCCCTCCCCTCTGCAGCTGTAGTAGTTTGGTTGCCCGTCGCCTCCGGCCCCGCCCCCGCACTCGGGGCCTTTCCGCTTGGTCCGAGGAGTCGGGGTTGGCATTCTCACCCTCCATGGGGCTTGATTCCAGCTCGTCGGTGTATGCCTCGGCCTCTATCTCCACATCCAACTCCCCCAGTGGGTCTTGCTGCCCTCCGCTCTGCAGCTCCTCCTGCCCTCCACTCTGCAGCTCCTGCTGCCCTCCACTCTGCAGCTGCTGCTGCTCTCCACTCCGCAGCTCTTGCTGCTCTCGGCTCTGCAGCTCCTGCTGCCCTCCACTCTGCAGCAGCTGCTGATCTCCTCTTTGCAGCTGCCGCTGCCCTCCGCTCTGCAGCTCCTGCTGCCTTCCGCTCTGCAGCTGCTGCTGCCCTCCCCTCTGCAGCAGTTGCTGCTGCCCTCCGCTCTGCAGCTGCTGCTGCCCTCCCCTCTGCAGCTGTAGCAGTTTGGTTGCCCGTCGCCTCCGGACCCGCCCCCGCACTCGGGGCCTTTCCGCTTGGTCCGAGGAGTCGGGGTTGGCATTCTCCCCCTCCATGGGGCTTGATTCCAGCTCGTCGGTGCCTGCCTCGTCCACCATCTCCACATCGCTCACCCACAATGTCTCTTGCTGCCCTCCACTCTGCTCCTCCTGATGCCCTCCACTCTGCAGCTCCTGCTGCCCTCCACTCTGCAGCTCCTGCTGCTCTCCACTCTGCAGCTCCTGCTGCTCTCCACTCTGCAGCTCCTGCTGCTCTCCACTCCGCAGCTCATGCTGCCCTCCCCTCTGCAGCTCCTGCTGTGCTCTGCTTTGCAGCTGACGCTGCCCTCCACTCCGCAGCTGCTGCTGCCCTCCGCCCTGCAGCTGCTGCTGCCCTCCGCTCTGCAGCTGCTGCTGCCCTCTGCTCTGCAGCTGCTGCTGCCCTCCGCCCTGCAGCTCATGCTGCCCTCCGCTCTGCAGCAGTTGCTGCTGCCCTCCGCTCTGCAGCTGCTGCTGCCCTCCGCTCTGCAGCTGCTGCTGCCCTCCGCACTGCAGCTGCTGCTGCCCTCCGCCCTGCAGCTCATGCTGCCCTCCGCTCTGCAGCAGTTGCTGCTGCCCTCCGCTCTGCAGCTGCCGCTGCCCTCCGCTCTGCAGCTCCTGCTGCCCTCCGCTCTGCAGCTGCTGCTGCCCTCCGCCCTGCAGCTCATGCTGCCCTCCGCTCCGCAGCAGTTGCTGCTGCCCCCCACTCTGCAGCTGCTGCTGCCCTCCGCTCTGCAGCTGCTGCTGCCCTCCGCTCTGCAGCTGCTGCTGCCCTCCACTCTGCAGTTGATGCTGCCCTCCGCTCTGCAGCTGCTGCTGCCCTCCGCCCTGCAGCTCATGCTGCCCTCCGCTCTGCAGCAGTTGCTGCTGCCCTCCGCTCTGCAGCTGCTGCTGCCCCCCACTCTGCAGCTGCTGCTGCCCTCCGCTCTGCAGTTGCTGCTGCCCCCCACTCTGCAGCTGCTGCTGCCCTCCGCTCTGCAGCTGCTGCTGCCCTCCGCCCTGCAGCTCATGCTGCCCTCCGCTCTGCAGCCGCTGCTGCCTCGTCCCCTCCGGCGGCTGTCGGCCTCTTTCCCGGCTCCCCTGCTGTCCGCCCGCCTGCAGGTCCCACCGGCCCCCCACCGGCGGCTCCCGTTGCCTGTCTCTTCCTGCCGCCCTCCGACGCCGCCATTCCTGCCGCCGTGCGAGACGTGGCACGACTAGGGGAGAGTCGACGTCGGTCGAGCAGGCACTGTGCCGCGTTACGCTCTCAGGTAGGCCACTCCTGCGAGTGTTGTGCTGTTGTTGCAAGCGCCTACGATGCTCTTCCCAAGCTGCCCTCGCAGCCTCCAATGCCACATCGGCGGCCAGACTCTTGTCGCCCATTGCTTCTCCCCCCTCTTCGTTGACGGCCGAAGGCTCTGAGACGCCGCTCTGGCCAGCCCGGTTGCTGGGGGGGTTCTTGGGGGATTGTCCACCTGTAATTGCTGAAATCGGGCGGTTCGCTTCAAAACACCGCCTCTTGGGTGGTTTGCCGAAGAGGCACAGAATGTCTTCGTGGCGGAGGCGACAGATGCGTGGGCTCTGGAGCGCACCCTCAGGCCCCCCCCGTCTTTTGTGGCCAGCCCCTAGGCAGAGCGACCCCGTGACTGCCGCCGTGCTTGTCCCCCCTTTGCCCCCGATGGCCTCCGTCGTGCCGTTGTTTGCGCCGTCTCCCGCCCAGACCCCGGGGTCCCCGGGGCCTGGGTCGTCTTCCATGATAGCGTTTCAGGTGGTACCTAGTGGTTTCTGCGGCGATTCCGCCCTGCTGAGGCGAGATCGCGCTGCCTGGTGGCGTCGAGGCGCTGCTAAGGGGCGATTTCGCGCTGCCTAAGGCGTCTGGCGCTGCTGAGGCGAGATCGCGCTGCCTGGTGGCGTCGAGGCGCTGCTAAGGGGCGATTTCGCGCTGCCTAAGGCGTCTGGCGCTGCTGAGGCGAGATCGCGCTGCCTGGTGGCGTCTGGCGCTGCTAAGGGGCGATTTCGCGCTGCCTAAGGCGTCTGGCGCTGCTGAGGCGAGATCGCGCTGCCTGGTGGCGTCTGGCGCTACTAGGGGGCGATTTCGCGCTGCCTAAGGCGTCTGGCGCTGCTGAGGCGAGATCGCGCTGCCTGGTGGCGTCGAGGCGCTGCTAAGGGGCGATTTCGCGCTGCCTAAGGCGTCTGGCGCTGCTGAGGCGAGATCGCGCTGCCTGGTGGCGTCGAGGCGCTGCTAAGGGGCGATTTCGCGCTGCCTAAGGCGTAATTTTGCAACGCCCTCCTGGCCGAATTGCGTTGTACGGGGATTTAAAGCTCAAGGCCCAAATTGCGGGCCGCGCTGGGCAAGATTACTAATCTTGCTCAGCTGCTGTTTGGGTGCTGTGAGTTGGCGAACGTTGGTTACAGTAGGGACGAATAAATCTGATTGGTCGAGGCCAAGTTCAGAACGCAAACTTCAAGTTTCATTATTTCCCGATTTGGGACTCTCGGACCCAAACAGAATGTTGGCCCTGGGGTTTACTGACTCAGCGAGTGTTGAGAAAGCCTGTGCGAAATAAGTCAACCCCACTTTCTCGACTTTGTCTTCACCTCCCAAACCACCAGCCCAAACCCTTGCGCAAGATTACTAATCATGCACAGTTGGGCCTTGAGCTTTAACACGCCCTTGAAAAATTTCAAGCAAAAAACTCGCTCGAAAGGAATACGATACAACACACACGCATGAAGGGGGATTCTTTCGGAACCTATGACCAAAGAGAAGGCAGTGACGCAAGACATTCTCTCTTTCTCATTGCTTGTTTGTGCAACTCCGCCATTTTATTAAAAATCATATGACATTTATTTTAGATGCCTTTAACTCTATAGAATGTACAATACGTCAACTGACTTTTAATGACTTCATGTGACTTGAGATTGAAGGCTTATCGTGGACACCAGACTAGAACGTTTGCTGTGATTCGAATTCATCTACCCGCCCTAAAAAAGACACTGTGAGGGCAGGCCACGCGAGTTCGTAAGAAGTTTACTATACACCGAGAATGGTGAGGTGAGCAATGGTTCAGAGTGGTGAAGCAATAACACCGTTCGAGAGTGCATAACATCTTAACCCCTTCGATGGAACAGAAATTGAACTCTCGTGGGCTGCCCTTCGCATCTACCAACGTGACGTGAAGCAAGCTCAGCTCATATCCTTTTCGTGACTGAAACAACTGAGCAGGGGAAACAAATCACCTACGATGGTTTGTCTTCTGATTCCTAAAACCGCCAGCCTGGCTTTTGCGCAAGCCAATGCATTTTTGTCACCTACTATTATCCCAGCAAGCAAACGATCCACCTACGTCATATACTGAGCTGACCCAGACACTCCACATGCTCGTTTCCTTGGATTATTTCTTTTAGAACTGGTTCTTAATCTGGAGTCGCTGCTTGGTGCGCTTGTAGTTTGCTAATATCTCCTCGCGTGATGTCACGCTTCCAGCAAAGCTATACCAACGTTCTCTTCCACATGCTTCTTGCACCCTTCGTCGAGTGACATCTCTCTCTTGTCGCAAACATGTCCTCGCCGATTACCACTGCTACTACTACTAGAAGTAGTTAAGGGGTGTTTTTTAGTGTCTTTTTTCTCCTCTCCCTCCTACTCATTGCTGCATCCAATAATTTCTTCACCAGTAGTAGCTCACACAGCTACGGCCTCCCCGTCCCCGTAAATATCTACGGGCCGGATGAAGCCATCCTCCTCTATCTAAAATCCCATTGGACCGGCTTTCATTACGCCGACTCCTAGATTGAAGGCACTAACTGCTCTACGTGGCATGGCGTCGCTTGCGATTCGAGCTCCGACGCCGTCACACACCTCGATCTCACCAGCACGTCGCTCAACGGCACGATCCCGCCCGCGATTGAAATCTAACGGCTATCACGAGCCTGATGTTCAGAGGGAACACGCTTACGGGGACTCTTCCGCCGTCCATCGGTCTGCTAACCCGCCTGCAGTTTCTGTTCATTTCCGACAACGGTCCCGGCTTGCGCGGGAGCATTCCGGCCACACTCTCGCGTTTATCGAACCTAATTTCTTTGGATCTGTTGCGAAACCGTTTCTCGGGTCCCATCCGAGATTATCCTAGGCGGGACGATGAAGAAACTGATCTCCTTGGATCTCTCCGCGAATCGCCTCGCGCGAAGCATTTCGGGGGGAGTGCTCAGCAGCCTTTCAGGTCTGAAGTATCTTAAGATTGCCGACAACCGGCTGACTGGTAGCATTCCGATGGAGACCGGCAACCTGACGGCGCTGGAGCTCTTGTTGATTGACAAAAACCGGTTGGAAGGGCCGCTGCCGTCAAGTCTGGCGGCGTATACTGGTCTGGTGTTGCTGGCGGCTGGAGATAACCGTTTGGGGGGCCTGCTTCCTATGAACACTCTGTTGCAACTCACGCAGCTGGAGAGCCTTTTTCTTAAAAGCAACGGCTTTGTTGTTACTTCGCTAGCCTCTCTTGTGCTCCACCCGACGCTGAGAAACGTCGAGCTGAGCCAAAACAAGGTCGCTCCGCGAATCCTCACAACCATTGGGCGAATGAAAAGCATTGAGTTCCTGAATCTGTCGAGAGATGGGCTGACAGGATCTGTTCCCGCGTCTCTTCTAGCCTATCAGCCGAAGCTGCGTGCACTCGACCTATCTTTCAACAGGCTCTCGAGAAGATCCCTTGGACTGCGGTGCAAGGCATGCCAGATTTAGTGTGGCTGCACATCCAGAGCAACATGCTTTTTGGCAGAATTCCAGAGAATTCGTTCACGGGGCTCTCCATTTATAATGTCAACATGTCGAACAATTTCTTCGGGGGACGTTTGCCCAATTTCGGCATGCCAGATGGGGATTGCAATATCGACGCGAGTAACCATTTCTTCTCGGGCAGACCGGAGATACGGGCGTGGGGAAAACGAGTCTGCCGGATCGAAGGGCACGCGGAGAAGCCTGGCGACGACGACTCCGAAAGCGCGCACCTCAATGTCTCTCGCAACTGCCTTTCGCAGGTGCCTGGTTGCAACGTTACATCGCAACGCAGGCCCGCTTTGTGCGCGGCATTCTGCAGTGCGAGTGGCAAGTTGGGAGCATGCGGAGGGGCATGGCACGTGCGTGCCCACAGCAGTGGGTGGGAAGTTCAGGTGGCAGTTTTCCTGCGTGTGCGACAAGGGCTACTCGTTAAAGCTGGGGAACGCATTCGTGTGTGAGCGCACAGCAGCAGCTATGGCTGAAGTACCTGAATCCTAGGTGTCATAGAATGCGGCACTCGGGAGAAGGTGGAGGGGAGGGGGGAGAATCGGAAGGGGATCGTTAATGTGCTCTGTTAGCTACATGCTCGGTTTCGTTGCTGGCTGGCTCCAACCCCCACCTTGCCTCCACTCCACTCTTCCTATCCCCTCTCTTTCCACCACCTGCTCGGGTACTTCTCGTTGGTAATCGCAGTGTGTAAAAACACGTGCAAATCTCAAGGCTGCATTCTTGCTGCATGTGGTGTTGCTGCTGGTGTCGACCGTTGTTAGCGTATCTGCTGCTTCTGAGGTGCCACTTGCACTGTCAGATGCTGCTGCTGCTGCTGGTGCTAATACTGCTGCTGCTGCTGCTGCTGCTGCTGCTGCTGCTGGTGTTGGTGGGGTGGTACTGCTGCTGTCGATGCTGCTGGTGCTGATAGCACTGCTGCTGATATTTTTGGAGCCAAATCTGCTGCTAGTCAGGGATAACTTAAGTGAGGATGGCCTTATGAGGCAGCCGCTTTTGCCGTGCAGCAACCAGCATGCACCTGCTGTTGTTCCTGCTACTGTTCATAACTCCGTTACTACTCGTGTTGCTACTCTCGTTCATGCCCCAGTTGCTATTCATTCTCCAGTTACCGTTCATGCTTCGGTTATAATTCATGGTTCTATCACTCGAAGCAGAAGCAGCAGCAGCAATAGCAGTGACAGTCGGAGCAGAATCAGTGGCAACGGCACGGCACAAGCGGGGTATTTAGCACTGGTGGGATGTGGCCTCTGGGTGACCCGTTAGAAGCCCTCTTTGCTGGTGACTCGCGACAAGCAAATCGTGCTGATGCGGAAATGGGAGAGGGGAGAATAAGGGGAGGCAGAGATGGGATGGGTGAGCAGGTTCAGGTGATTGGGGCTGAGGAAAAGGGGGTGGAGTGTGGGAGGGAGAATTGGAGGGAGTGTGTGAGGGAGTGTGGGACGGAGAGTGGTGGAAGAAGCGGAAGTGGGTTCAGTGGTAAGATAGAGAATGTGGGGGCAGGAGATATAGGGAGCAAGGGGGAGCAAGGGGGGGAGGGGGACGAATGGGACTTGGGCAGTTGAGGCCGAAAAAAAAAAAAAAAAAAAAAAAAAAAAAAAACAAGCCAAGAAGGAGGAAACAGAGGAGAAAGTGGAGAATGGGGAAGGAGAGGGGAGGAGGAGGAGGAGGAGGAGGAGGAGGAGGAGGAGGAGGAGGAGGAGGAGGAGGAGGAGGAGGAGGAGGGGGGGAACGAAGAGGGAGAGGAGGGTCCCAAGCGGGTGCTTCTTTTCGTTGCAGGTCAGTTCACAGCTGCCTCCGCCCTTGCTACATGTGCTTGCAGTCACAGCTCTAACCTTCCTTATACGGTTCCTTTCCTGCTTTTTGATAGTGACTTGATGGGCCCAGAGGTCTTTGGTGGCGGTGAGCCCCCCATCCCATGGCGGTGAGTCACCCATCCCATGGCGGTGAGTCACCCATCCCACGGTGGTGAGTCACCCATCCCATGGCGGTGAGTCAACCATCCCATGGCGGTGAGCCCCCCATCCCATGGCGGTGAGTAAACCATCCCATGGTAGTGAGTCACCCATCCCATGGTGGTGAGTCAACCATCCCATGGCGATGAGTCACCCATCCCATGGCGGTGAGTCACCCATCCCATGGCGGTGAGTCAACCATCCCATGGCGGTGAGTCACCCTTCCCATGGCGGTGAGTCAGCCTGGTGGTGCTGGTACTCTTCTTAACTTGTGCCCTGTGTTGTAAACCTGATTCTTTCCACTCGGTATTTTTCATTTTTTCATCTTACTGATTATGGGCCTGTGAGTGGACTCAAACAAGTACTTTTCAACCGTCGCGGAATATGGACTAGGTAAGCTCCCTGTACCATGTCTTTGTTACAGATTAATGTTTCCACAATAGTTGTTACATTGTTTCCAGATCGGTGTGTGTATCCCAGGTGACCTACAGCCGAACCTCTCCCTCAAGGCGTCCTTCACCAACAGGCGAAGGGGAGGGAGGGCAGGGCCTGGCAGTTGGTTTGCAAACATTGTCCCTCGAGCTATGCCTCCCACGAGCTTTATCCACCATCTCCCACCTCACCATCTCCCATCTTATATCCCCACTGGTGACCCTGCAACCTACCGTTTTCCCTCGCAGCCTTCACCACCAGAGAGGGCGGGGGGCAGGCAGAGCATGCCATGCGACTTGCAATAACTGTCTACATTGACAGCCAATTTTCCACCCACCCCCACCCACCCACTGTCTACCATGCCTCATCCCTTCCATCCCTTCAGTTGACCTACAGCCTCCCATTCTCCCTCACAGCGTCTTCACCATCAGAGGGGACGAAGGAGGGTACGCCCTGGCAGCTGGTCTGTCTATCTAATGCGCCACCATTGTCCCATTTCATCACCATTAGAGGGGGCGGAGGGCAGGGCTTGGCAGCTGGTCTGCTCAACGTCGCCTTACTCCTTCCGCAGGGGAATTTCCAGGCGTTGTTAGTGTGCCTTAGGTAAATCCCCAGATGCAATTATTGTGCCTCGGGTGACATTTTATGTCTTTAAGTTGTGTCGTTCCCCAGGTCATTCTATTGTGGCTAGAGTGGTTTCTCAGCTTTTCTCATGGGCTGTCAAGTTTGTGTGATTGTAATGGAGATTGCTTTATCTGTACTGACGGAACTAGTGTTTGTCATTGAGAGTGACTGTGATAGTAATGACAGGAACATTTTCCAGCCCCGCATAAGAAACGAATTCCCAGCTGAGTATTTACTTCAACTCTCTCGCACATGTTTGTCTTGTCTGTCTTTCCTTCTGCTGTCACTTCTCCGAGTCCTCTTACCGCCACCCCCCTGTCAGGCTTTGTCTGTCCTCCTGCGCTACCCCCTTGCCCCTATTTGCCACCCCCTCAGTTGTTTGTGTCATTAGCCATCGGACCGCTTGATGCATTCTTTGGGGGTGGCAGCATTCCTGGCTTCGCGACAGCTGCTGCTTACTATACTCTCCCCCGCCCACATCCGGACACATCTCCTCCCCGACCCTCTGTCTCACGCCCCACTGCTTCACATTCCAAACCCGTCATGCGCATATCCTCTCCCGAACTCGGCAACAATACCCAATGATTTGTCTCGATTCTCCCTACCTACGTACATACGTACATACCTACTTGTGTCTCCTATGCCATGCCATTGTCAGGCTTGAAGGGATCTTGTAGCAGGAGCCAATGAACGGTTTCTTTTCAACACACTAGTATATTTGGATCTTGCCATCAATCAATACCATATGTTTCATTCCTACTCGTCAACACATCAATTGTGCTAACGAATACAACTTAGCTTCAGAGACTTGTAGATAGGAACCTGTGGTGATGAGAATAACCATCGAAGCGGATGTTATCGAAACCACACTGCGTTTAGAGCAGAGAGTTGTTAAGGCGTGTTACATTTTCGATACTCGTACGGTTCGGAAAATTTCCACTCTGAAACGTATTGAAACCTACTTGAACAAAGCGTTCAACAAATTCACCCATCAACCGTTCGGACCGTACGGTTCGTTTTGAAAACAATCGAAAATATGACACGCCCTTAGCGATGTTCGAGCCACTACCCAGAGAGTGCATCAGCTCCTGATAGCGAGGGAGCATCAGCGACTGACAAGACTTCAGAAGACTGAGCTTAGTACCGCTTCTTCTTAGGCTAGAAACATGGCGCCACCTGCGGTGAAGTACAGAATCCAGTCATCCATTGCGGAAGGCGGCGAACGACGTTATTCAATATTATCAGTTGCTGATGATGTCGCACACAAGAGGCACAAGAAGAACCCATTCGATCAGAAATACCTTTCGCTAGCCTTGGCACCATTTGACATTGTAAGGCTATGGATACTTAGCACGATAAATTGGCCACTCTAATGTTCAGTGACGTCAGCTTTTTAACAGGCAGATAACAAGGGAAAGACGAAAAATGTCGTTACAAAGGCTGACGTGGAGGAGGCGTCAACCAACGTTCATGTCCGAGCGGAGGTAAGAAGCTACCCATGAGTTATAGTGTTTTTCTTTCCGTCTTGCATCTGACGTCAACGCTCATGCGTGCAGCTTATTCGAACAATGCGAGGTACGCGAGTATCCAGGTTTTGCTGGCTGATGAAACCCTAGGAGGCTCTTGCCAATGACGCGTTCCATTCAAAACAGACGTGTTGTCTAAGAAGACCACTGAGGCCGTTCGTGAGCTCAAGACCACTGCTAGGGAGCCTGGTTCAAAGCCTACAAAATCAGGTCAGGACAACTTTGTGGTGATACTTAGGTCGTTTTCGTGCTCACAGCTAACAGCATCTACATTTTACAGCCCGAAACGTCAATGGGCAAGAATTGACGGAGTCTGACATCGATCGGTACAAAACTATGTTTGGGGATGGGCAACTACTGAGCGGTGAAGAGAAGAGCAGACATGGTAAATTTGGTAGCTTCATTGGCGTCACAGCGCAGCGAAGGAACAATCAGGGAGTGCTGGAATTGTCCCTGGACGATGCGGTGGCTAATGCAGTAAGTTTGATTTGATGTACCATAATTTGGACATATTCCGCAACAGCATGATCAGTTGAAACCACACTGACGGTATACCTCCCTGGCAGATCAGTAAAATATCTGAAAACAAGTCCCTTTTTCTCAAGCGGGACGAGTTGTGTTACAGCCTAACCTCTTCCACCTCTGGGAACTTGGAATCCACAATCTCAAGGTAGGCAACTTCAAGCTGAGCCACTTATGGGCGCACCTGCATGTAAATCATCTAACCTTCAGCCTTTGTTTGCGAAGAGTGCTTGACTGGCATGGAAACGATGATGGTTACCCGGAGATAAGCATCCCCACATACTTTGATCTAAGACCGTATAAAGGTCTCGTTGTTCCCATCGAGGAAGACCTATTGGATGATGAAGCTTCTGAAGATGATGCTCCAATTGAAGCTCCATCACTGTTTGATGGCGAGGCTGCATCTGACACTTTTTTTCCAAATATGGAGCCAGACGTAAGTTAGCCATTGCACCGGAGGAGCCCGCACCTGCGTTGTGCAACATACTCATCATCAGTATGGCGCAGCCCGCAATCCTTTATTGATTATTCTTGGATGCTGCAGGTTCATGGGGAAGCCTTGCACTATGATGCTCCTAATGGAGAGGACAAGGATTTTGATGACATTTGTGACTTTGACGACTTTGATCTTGTGGATAAGCTTGTTGAGGAACATGAAGCGAAGAAGGCTGCTCGCGCAGCAGAAAATGCTAACTTACCAGAGGAGGTAAACTCCTTAGTTGTGCTTTCCTAATTTTCTTGTGTGCCGCAACTGTCTCTGAGCTGTTGTTTCACGCTTGGCAGGCTATGACTGCAAGAACCCCACAAGCGGTTCCTGTCCAAGCTCATGCACAGCATGTGGATGCTGAAGAGCCCCACCCGCCTCAAGAACATGAGCAATGGCATGCACCTCCTGAGCCTTTGCCTGTCCCGATCACAGAATGTCCGGACGCAAACCAAGTCAAACCTGGCGATCATGAGGTGACTCAAGCTTGTGGTCTGTACAAGCCACAGTTCGGTAAAAGAAAATCACGTCTGGAAAAAGTGGTGTCAACTCCAGTGGAGCAGCCAGATGGTGACCCCATGGGCCCACCAGAGTGCCAATTTGAGGAACAATCAGCAGCAATGACTGTGGATGGAAGTGGCCCACCAGATAATTCAATACAAACTGAGGAGGCCCCTGCACTTGACAAGGTGTGATTCTTGGGGTTTGTGCCGCATATTTAGCTGTTCATGCTCTCTCAACCTACTTCAGCAGGGACCCAGTATCCTTCTCCTCGATCAGCTTGTGGTTTCAAAGTTTCGAGAGGCTGATTCCAGCAGCAATACCCGACAAAGCAGGTAAGTAAAGCAAGCTTGTGCACAATCAGTGTGTGCAGCCAAAGCTTCCTTGATTCCTTACGGCCCATTCTGTTCTCCCTCAGAATGGATGATAAAGCGCTTGTCAATTTTGCAGGCAAATTCGTGATGCAGAGAGGCTTCTTATGCCACCACAACAGTGTGAGGAACCAATTCCCTCAGATCCGTGGGATGATACTGATATGGACCGAGACATGTTCAGGCTTTCACTGTACAGATGTAAGTGATCAGGTTACAAAGAGAAAGAAAACGATTTTATGAATTTACAGACTTCCCTTTGAAAGGCAAATTTTACTCGCATTTCTATTGAGGGCTTTTTGTTTTGCTTGTGCAGCAAGATTTGACATTGTTTCATATCGTGAGAAGCTGTTTACCGACCCTTCCGTGGTATGATGCTACTTTTGTATAAAAGTTGTGGTCCTGATTCGAGGTAAACACTGGATAATAATGTTTTCCTGATGCTCTACAGATTGAGGGGGGTTTCGACCTTGACTTCTCCACTGTTTCATGTATGTTATTTTAATTGCTATTCTTGTCTTCCCTGGCCTCGTGACTAAATTTGTGTGATATCCAGGCTCCAAGATATCTGACATGTCACTTGTAGTATATGAAGATGACACTTTTCAACTTCCACCGCCTCAGATGGAAGGAATCCATGAATATGCTGAAGACCTTGACAATCCATTGGAAATCCCAGTTCAGGAGCCATCTGGTTCCTCGATGCCTGAAGAAGACCACAACGACCAGTATTTCTGGGATTTATGTGGGTGGGAGGATCTGGACCCAGTTCACTCTCCCAATTATGATGGTCCAACTGTGATGCATCAGCCTCAGCAACATAAACCAGTGGTGGCTTATTGCAAGCCAAGTGCTGAGCCATGTGCTGATACTACATTTAAGATTCCAGCCTCAGGGGATTCAAGGGTCCATCATGAGAACATCCTGTTCGCATCTGCTCCAAATCTTGCAAGGAACTGCAACTATCCAGTTTCGTTCACTGCTCCAGTTGCTGCTGACCGCGACCAACCACGATCATCATTTTTACGGGACGGTGCGAGGCACGCTGATGTTCATCCAATGCCTGGAACTTACCGTTTTCCAAAAGCAGCAGATATGTGCAACAGTGTTCCTGTACCCTCAAGAATTGAGACGGCTCCACCTCCTGTTGGCATTGAACTCATACGACCTGCTGAGGCATCCTGTCATATTGTTCCCTCCATGGAACATGCGGCTCCTAGTTCACAGGCAGTTGGATCTCAATCTACTGCACCTCATCCACAATGTTCCATGGGTTCATCAGCAGTGGAAACTTCCTCTTGTGGTAATGCGCGAGGGAAGCGCCCCAGGCTCCAAGACCTGATCGAGCAAGTGATGAGTCGAGATGCTTATCCGGTACGTTTTCTTTGTTTTACTGATTGTTTCACTCTGGTTAATGTGGCTGTCATCATTGCACACAATGCTCGTGCTTATGTTCCCACTGCAGGAGCATTTATCTGACCCATCAAGCATCTCTGCGCTTTCACATAAGCTTGAGAAGGATATTGCTGTGGCTGTCAAGTCCGGAGAGAGAGTATTTGGAAGAGATCATCTAACAAACATGCTTGGACTAACTGCTGCAAAAGGTAATGCATGAAAAATCACAAACCTTTTGTTGAGAGGTCACTTCACTTCCTAACTGTGGTTAGTGATGCAGGAACAATGACAGCGCAGAGGTACTTAATGGTGCTGTTGAACTTGGCACACCACCACAACATGCTGCCTCCAGAACGAAGGGTGAGCATGTTTGCTGAATCAGCACAGTAACAATTCTTGCATCATTGCTCGCTCGACCACGACCACATCACAGTCTCTCATGAAATCCTTTGGTGCTTTGCAGGAGCCAACGATAAGTGATACTGATTTTGTGCTGCGCTGTTCTTCTGGAACTGGCCCATCCTGTGTGGAGTTGAGCTTTTCAGCCATCACGTCTGTTGACGGATGAAGATTCTTTTGTTCCTAGTGGATACTAACATGAATGGTCAGTCACAAATGCACTGTTTCAGCAAGCTGATCACGACACCGTACAGTAGATCCTGATGTGAAGAGCTGAAAGCTGCTCCACACTATCATTAATCATAGTGGGTTTCTACAATGACACCAGTTGACTCCAATCCAAGCATTTGCGCTTCGTGTGCAACCACCTATAGCCAACCAGCTCTGGTCACTGCAAACGTGTCATCAGATGAACATGTCAAGCTCCGCTCGAGTGTAGGTATTGTTTGGCTCGTCGGGCAGGCGTGGGTATGCAGCCACAAGGGCATCTTGTGCACCAATGTACAGGTTGTTGTAGATACGCCAATACACCTCACGCACCTTACGAGCTGGATGATATAGACCCTGCATGGAAATAAAGAGGGTGTGAAAACTGGCTGAAACTAGTCTACAACACCCAGATCAATCCAGTTTAAAAAACCAGTTCTTTGCTCTGGAAACACAAGTAGTGCAGCTACCTCAAATTGCACCATGGGCAGCAGTATGAGAACACATGCAAGCAACAATGAAACAACCAACAAACCTGACATCTGTTGATGACAACCTGAAAAACTGCCTACCTGCAGGACATATCCAAGAACGAGTGCAGGGCCCAGGGCCACCCTCATGCCGTCAATGGTCCCCATGACTGCTTGAATCAGGTGAGGTGATGTCTCAAAGATGTTGGGCCAAACCAGATTTAGTAAGTGGATCTGCATAACAAACATGAATGAACCGGTAAGGTAAAAGAAGAAACACCTAGCAGAGATGCAAGTTGAGCGAAAATCAGGAATAAACACTAACAAGATGTGCAGTAAGAAGGGCTGGACAGATCTAAATTGGGTGCACAAAGACGGATAATGAGCCTGGTGGACAACAAGACTGGCCAACAAACAGAGGACTCACCAAAGCATCTTCACAACCAAGCCCTGCCACTCCCAGCGTCATGTGCATCACTGCCGAAGCTGCCGTCTGAAACACAAGCGAGCGGAAGAGGAGATGTACACTTCAGGCGGAATTCAGGTTGCCAGATGAAGGAACAAGTGCGCGTGCGCAGGGGTTCGACTCCAAGGACGGTAGGTAGAAAGCAGGCGCGAGAGTGAGACAGACACATAACTAGTGTCTGGCCTCCCTCATCCCACACACACACTCCCCACCTCATACACTACCCACCTGTCGGTGCACGAGGTCTCGGTCCATAAGCGCATCCTCCAGCAGAGGAGTGACGGCATAGATGTAGTCGCGGCCCATCTCGCCGATGTACTCAAAGAGGAACGACAACGACTTGAGCACCCCGTTCTGCACGTTCAGCTCCGGCACTCGGTACCTGGAAGGGGGGAAGGGGGGGAAGGGAGAGAGGAAGAGGCAGGAGAGGGTTGAGAAGGGGTTTGGGGGTTTGGGAAGAGGAGGCTCAGCACCATGCTGAACGTTCTGCACATTCAGCTCGGGCACTCGGTACCTGGGAGGAGGGGGGAGGAAAGAAAACAAGGTTCAATTGAGGAGCATTGATGACAATGTTCAGCTAGGTTCTGCATGTTGCGTTTTGCATGTTTAGCTGTGACATGTGGTCGTTAGCTGGGGAAGGAGAGGCGATGCGAGGAGAATTACATGCAAGGAGGAGAAGCAAAAAGAAACAGTGAAGCATGTTCAACATAAAGAAATCAGATGGCCGAAACAGTCATCCCTCTGCTTCAACATAGTATGCACTCACTCGTTCATAAGCGCGGGCAGCACAGTGAACGGAGAGCAGGTCTCAGCCACGATAGCGATGGCAACAGTGGTGCACACGCGGTTCTGCCGCTCCTGCACCTTGAGGTTGTTCAGCAGCGTCGCCAGCACATCTTGAGGGCCGATGGCCTTGGCAATATAGCCGAATGTGTTCACCGTGGCACGCCTGATTCCCTTCTTGTGTGCCTGGGGAATGCGGGCGCATTAAAACAGGGTGCGCATGAGCAATAGAAAAGCACAATGCCTCTCTGTCTTGCATTGTCAGCAGATGCCGTGGTTCCAGATCCTCCCTTGCCCTTCATCCCTTCTCTCTTTCCTCTTTACCCTCTCCCTCCTTTCACTCTCTCCCTCCATTAACCCTCTCCCCCGTCTCACCCTCTCCCCCTTTCACCCTCTCGCTCCTTTCTAGCTCTCGCCCTTCCCCTCACCTTGAGCATGTGCAGCTGTTCGAAGCAGATGCGCATGCACTCCCTCACTGCTCCTGCTCAATAACTGCTACAAGAATCGCCCCTCGTCCCCACTCATCACCCACCTTGAGCATGTTGAGCAGCTCGAAGCAAATGCGCATCCACTCACTCGCTGTTAACCCATGCCGCAATATCCTTATCCCTGGTCAGAGCACCTTGAGCAAGCCCCCTAGCACATACCTTGAGCATGTCCAGCAGCTCGAAGCAGATGCGCATCCACTCCCTCGCCGGCACGAACTCGGCTCCCCTGTCCGCAATGCGCCCCACCAGGTCGATGCAGTTCTCCTGCACCTGTGGGTGGTGGTTGTGGGGGCGGAGCATTAGAAGTAGTGTTAACCGTGCGTGATGTTAAAAAAGGAGTGAGGCTCAATCAACCTGTCTGTGGGTGGTGGAATAGTGGGCGGTGGGAAGGGAAGGGGGGGGGGGGAGGGGAGAGGGGAGGCGGCGTGTCTGCTATGCGTCCCACCAATTCGATGCGATGCATTTCTTCTGCACCTGCTGTGGGTGGCGCGGGGATTGGTGGGGTGGTGGTGGGAATGGTGATGTTTGCACCACACGCAGGGAGAGACACGGATTGAGGGAAGGAGGGTTCAGCCTGTGTGCCTGCAATGCGTCCCACTACTCGACAAAATGCTTTATCCAGAGGAAAGCGGAGGGGGAGAGGGGAAGGGGGGGAGGAATAGTGGTGATGGGAATTATCAACGGAGGAGCGGAGCGGACCACAAATACAGCCCAGATTCGTGTGAAGGAAGAGCAAAAAAACGGCGACTTACCTTTTCGTGCCTGTTCTTGAGGATGGGTGTGAGGCGAGGCAGAAGGTCCTTGATAGGGGGAGTCATCTTGGTCATGCCGATCACATTCACTATGGCCTTGAGCGCGCCCAGGATGGAGCCCAGCACCTCGGGGTACTCTGTAGGGAGGGGAAATGGAAGAGAAGAGGGAACGGTAATGAGTGAGCACGTGCAGCAAGAAAGGGGGCGCACTCACTCACTACCACAGCGGACAACACCTTGGGGTGCTCCGCAGAAGAGAGGGGGGAAAGGAGTGATACAGGTGCACTCAGCGTGGGTGTTGGCAGGGGAGGAGGCGTGCATCACATCGCATCGCATCGCATCGCATCACATCACATCACATCACATCACATCACATCACATCTCGGTCATTTCAATCGTAAGTGAGTGCGATGCAGTGAATTCAGCGTGGGTTTACAATAAGCCCCATGATGAGTGCTTTCGTGCGACGCACATTTTCACACAGAAGTGTACTCACCTTCTCCCAGGTACTCGTACAACACGACACCAAGATGCCCCATGAGCTGCTCCTCGCCACACGCCTTCATCACCACTGCAATGCGCGCTATCAGGTCTGCTGCCTGCTGCCGCACCTTGGCACTCTTGTTGTTCAGCCGCCACTTCACCGTTCCACAGATCTGGGGGAAAGGGAAAGGGGGGAGAGAAAGAGTGAGGAGAGGAATAGGGGGACAAGATATTAGTAGGCTCCTAACAGCACAGCTGCCGCACTTGGCGCTATTGGTGTTCAGCTGTCCCACAGATCTGTTAACATGGAAGGGGACTAGAATAGAGCGACAAAAACGGATGGGAGTAGAGAAGAGCAGAAACGAACAGAGCCGGCTGTGCACGAGGTTGAAAGTAAACGCAGATCACAGCAGAAAGTAGCGATGCTGCAGAGGAAAGAAAGAAAAAAACGAAATCCACAGCGGACTGTTACTGATGTACAAAGGGAAGCACTGACCTGGGGGAGGTAGGGCCGCACTCTCTGCCCCAGCGCATTGACCACCGTGCCGAAGCCGTTGAGCATCACATTTGCGTCGTCGCTTGTCTGCACCCACATGCAATGATGCAGACATGATTGAGCATGCATGTGCAGTGCACGGCACCATCACCCATGGATGAATGCCATGCCATGCCATGCCATGCCACCAAGGTATATGTGCGCGCAGAGAGGCAGTGGCAAGCCAGGCAGCAAGGGAGGGATGGAGTCATGGTTACAACACGGCCATACACAAAGCATGAGCCCGTTACTGCCATTGCCTGCCATTGCCATAGGCACCGAGAATAACACCGTCTATTCTAGAGAGGCTATACTATAGACGGTGTTATTCTCGGTGCCTATGGCATGGCCCACCTCGGTGCCTATGCCCATGGCACCGAGAATAACACCGTCTATAATATGGCATGGCCCACCTCTTCCCGCCTCTCACACCCACCCACCCCGCATGCTCCTGGAACGGGTAAGGAGCCGCCATGTCAGCGGATGGGGGAGGGGATGGGGGAGGGGACGTCTAAATTAGCAGCTCTTCAAGTCCCGCGTCCATGTCAACGTTCCCCAGGTTGGGAGCACCTCCTCCATTGTCTCCTCCACCATGCGAGGTGATTTTTGAGTCAACCCAAAAGTCACTAGGTTGGGAGCACCTGCTCTACCGTCTCCTCCACCACCATGCGCCCTCTGTGATGTGCAGAGCCTATACATACATACCCCCATTCACCCACCTGTTCCTGGAAGGCATAAAGAATGCCGTCGATCAGCAGCTCTTCAAGTCGCGCGTCAATGTCAGCCGCCCCCAGGTTAGTGAACACCTTCTGCACCATCTCCACCACCATGTGCCCTATGTGGTGTGTCCAGCCTATACTATTACCCAACTTCACCCACCTGCTCCTGGAACGCTTAAAGAATGCCATCGATCAGCATCTCCTCCAGCCGCGCGTCAATGTCAGCCGCCCCCAGGTTAGTGAACACCATATCAACCGTCTCCATC